TTTCATTTAACATACAGTAAATTTACTTTATATTTGTTTTGCATACTTAAGTTTTGTAGTTTGAATATTGTGTTTTACATTATAACCATAAGAATTTCCAACTCTCTGTGGGATTGATACTTAGGACTCTATTAGAGCCCTTTATTACTTGAGTGATACGTATACTTGCATTATTACTATGGTTTGGCAGCTTAAAGATTTTAAAAGATAAAATTATTTATACTAAATTTATTTTTATTGGGATTGAACTGCATGTTTACTATTTGTGTTGTTGTGTGTGTATTGTAATAATAAAAGATATTTGCAATGCACAACAAAACAGTGCATCAACCACGCCACTTTTTCAGAGGCCTAGCGTGACCACGCTGTCCAATTTAGGATACTGACATGATCACGTTAGATTTTAGCGCGATCACATTGATGAAGCGAGAAATGTTTTAGAAAATAATTTTCTCATCAAATCCTAGACTTTGGTTATAAAAAGAGGTCTTAAGGTAGCTTTGAGAGAGGAAGGAGTCATTGGGATGGCTGAAGACAAAATTTAGAATGATTATAGAGCTTCTTTCATATGATTTCTTCCTTGCTTGAGGTTGAAGTCCTAGGAGCATTTTCTTTTCATTTTCTCTTCTGTCTTAGGAGCATTTTCTTTTTATTTTCTCTTCTGTTTTCTCATTTATTTTCAGAGGAGATTGTATGAGAGATATATCTACTACTGTGAAAGAGAGAGCAAATTATTTTATAATTTTTGGTTGCAATAATGGTTTTAATGGATTTGATTTTCATTGTTCTTTCTAACATGAGTGGCTAAGTTCTTTTTGACATCTCTATGATGTAAGGATCATGGTTTTGTATTTTTATTGAATTATTTTTTCTAGTAATGTTTTCTTGAGATTTAATGTCAATGTCGTTGTGTTAACCATCAGATTTCATTTACTCCTGATTTGACAAATTAAGATGATAACATATTTCATGATCCACGACTTCTACTCATTGTGTAGAGGGAAGAAATGGTTAACCATATAATCTAGGTAAGAATAATCATATTTTATTAGGATTTTGCAACATATAAAGGGAATTAGAATAATCATGCGAATTGTCATGAGTATTAAGAGAGCTTAACTTAATGGGTTCTAGTTCATTTTGATATAGGCATAGGCATAAGCAGAACTTTTTATCTCTGTTGACAATGATCACGTAGGGAAAATTCTAGGAATACCATAAGCCACCACGATTCCTAAATCACAAATGTGCGAGCCTCATCTTTATTGAAGAATAGTGATATTTATCCGCTTGATACATTCCTTTATCTTTCAACCTCGTGAAATTTTTTTTTTAAGTAGGATTTTATAAAAATTCATCTCTTGTTTGTGATAAAGCTGAACTAGGTTTAAACATTTAATAAATTAGAGATTCACCCTTCAGTCTTTCCTCGTGGGATTGATACGCGGTACTCTTTAACCGCGTTATTACTTGACACATATACTTGCATGATTGACAGAATTACTTCCTGATAAATTTTCAGCCATCATTAGACTACTTAATAGTCTCTTCATTTGTGCTTATCATCTGAATGTTGATATGTGATGTGTTGAGCTATGTATACTTTTATTCTGGTTATAGCTCATATCACTGGTTTGTAGGTCGAGGAGGGAGATTAGAGTTCCCTTGATATTCAATCTTTCTTTGCTCTAAGGTTTGATTAGTTTCCCTAGGGTTATTCTTATACTTGCTCCCAAATTACTCGAAATGCTCTGTGTGTGCATTAATGACCTCGTCTACACTGATTTGAGCTTTAAAATGAAGAGCGAGGTAGGCGTAAAAGTGAACCATCTATCACATCAGTAATGAATGGACATGTCTCAGACTGAGCCCTCCAACAAAGACTCCCCTTAATAATGCATGATCCACCATTGAAATCTGACAAGTTTTAGTAGAGAATATGAGAAAATATTTCTTAAACGATTCTCCCTCTTTCTGGAGAATTCTTAAAAGATGGGACAAATATTTGATAATCATCATGTTTGTTATGAACTACATCACAAATAGCCTGCCAAGCTCACTAAGAGTATAGTCAGTGCTTTCTAGAAAGAGTATAACCTAGTGTAAGCTTGACATTTGAAAGTGATTAAAAATACTTGACAGAAAAGTGTATCAGAGGCACATTGAATGTGCATGATGGTTCAATAATAGTCAACATGTTCATAAGGGTTCATTACCAATTCATAGGAATTAATATTGAGGAGATTAAAACCCACTAGTATGGGGTGCTAGAGGACCACCTCGATAAAGGGCGAAGACTCTTAGAAGTTACGAAGAGAGGAAAAAAGAACCCTATCCCGTAAGGGAAACTCTTCTCAAATAAGATGTCATAACTTGTTATATATTAAGTTAGCAGGAATAAAGCTAAATTTCTCATAAATGTCATGGGATAATCGATTGGCCTAATTGTGCATGGCAGATGAGTGAAACTCATAGTGTAAAAAAGGTCATCGTCTTGATCTAACCAAGAAATTGTTCCATTATAAAGAGGGGCTCCAGTACGAGTATGCTTCAGTGGGGCATATCCTGTTGGCTGTTGGAATAGTGGTAAGTAAGCTACATTTGAATACAAAAATATTGGCCACCAAACCTCACAGAGGAGCTGAAGGATCTTATTCTGAGACTCCTCCATCCTACGCACTCAATCCTCCAGGGAGGAACCCGAGGCACCTTCACGAATAAGATAATGAATATTAGGGTGGTAAGAGGCAGAAGTTTGGCATCCTTTGCCTGGTGACTATCTTTAATGATGGTGGGTGTAGAGCAGGATGCTCCATTGTTGCAAGTATTGCGTTTGGTGGACATTTAACAAGTTTCACAAGTCCTTCGACGTGGTGGGATTGCCTTTTCCACAGTTGGCGCCATATGATGTATCGTGAAGGTAAAGTGATTATTTTAACACCTTAGTGTTACTTAAAAGTCTAACACATATAAGTAATTGAAGTAACAAGTAAAGACATCAGATATTTTTCTGTGTAAAACTCCAAAAGGGAAAAAATAATGAGGCATAATTTAGTTAGAATGATCCACTATAATTCAATTTGTATACACACAGGCCCTTGTCCCACAGACAGGAAAATGTTACATAATTTTTTTTTGGGGTAGAATGGTAATATGCAGAAGGATTCATTGTACAACGATCGGGAGCGATTGTAGTTAATAATAGTTTTCGGGACTTCAGTGCATCATTACATAGTGTATAGTATAATATATTGCTCCGTGCGGTTTCTCGTTACTCCATGACATTGATCTTTACTTCACATAGTACTTTGGTCTTTACTCTGCACAGTGCTTCGTTACTCTGCAACATACGACACAACTGCACGGGGGGCTTTGTTGCAATGAGCAGGGGGTAGCCGACAATAGTTTTCTGTCGTTGACAGTTGTAGGAGAGGGAAGCGTTCGTAAGGTCTTCGGTCCAAAATAACACTGGAATTCAACTCCTTCGGCACCAACTATAAGTAGTTCTTCCTCTGGTTTAAAGTCTAAGACATTCTTTTATGCAGGGGCAGAGCTCTATTCATAAAGTATAGGAGAGTCTCTCATGCTAATAGTAAGAAGTTCAGACCATTTCATCGTACGACCCAGAGAGATCATCACAATCGGCAAAATTTTTTAGACATTTAAGCATCTTCATAATATTAGAATTAAGTAATCTTGGGCTCTTTGAATGCATCACACCGAGGTGCTCGATTTGACTATAAGCAGTTAGATTTGAAATCCATTTGACCCTCCAATTAGTCTCCCAAAGCTTATAAAAGTGGTTCAACGACTTAATTTTGGGCTTGATTTGACTAGGATTGAGTAAATTTTGGTGTTATTTAAGCTTGATTGTAAATTTACTGAAATCTAAGTCCTGAATAATTTTTAATTTAAGTTTAAAAATATTTAAAAATAAAAATACTCCAAAATTCATACCGGTTGTTGTGAGATTCATGTTAAACAATAAAATTTGTTAGTGACATATCAGTTTTAATATAACGCATGTGTAAAATATGATCCAACATTATTAATTCTTTTTTCTAGTTCTGCGTGTAAGCATTCTAACTTTATTTAATCACTTCGACCATAAAAAATACAATTTAAACCATTCACTTGGGCAATGAACTAAAGTAAATATTCATTTTAAATCCACATATTTAGGAACACAATGTCCTCAAACCTTTCTAGGCTAATTATTGATAGAAAATAAAATAAAAAACGAGTCTGCCAAAATATAAATAAATGTCTTATATGAAAGAGGTTAAATATATTATTTTAGAGAAGAAAATAAATTTATTTTCAAGTTGAAGCCGTTGGAGCAAGTTAAAGAGAGCTAGGATTTAACATTAGTTATCAGCATATAAAACTAAATTTCAGTTATTTTATTTTTTAATAAAAAAATCATTAAAATTTTTATTTATTTATAAATATTTAAAAGGGTTTCATTTTATACGTCTCATAAGAGTAGAATGTAAATAAGTATGCTAAGAAAATATTTAGAATTAATTAATTGAGAAATTTACATTACTACCACGTAATTTTTATTTATTTACATATTTAACACTTAAAATTTGATATTTTTTGTACAATATTATGGTGCATGAAAATATATACAAAAAATTTTACATTTCACGTTATTAATAATATTGATATTATTAATGTTATATTAAAAGTTGAGCATTATTTATATAAATATGGAAATCAAAATAAAAAAAAAATAAGAATTTTGTGGTATGTATGTAAATGCATCTAATTAGTTTTAAGAAATTTATACATTTAATGTAATTTTATGTATTTATATTTATTATATCTTCTTGTAAGAAATTTATAAATGAAAAAAAAGGGTTTTTTACTTTTTAAAGGTAGGTAATAGTAATATGAAACATTTATGTTATAGATAGAAAAATGAAAGTATAGATGTTTTTATGTAAACACATTAAAATGGTGCGCTATGTATGTAAATGCCACCGTTAAATTTTGTAGCAGGTTTATGCGAAATTCCATAAAAATGCCCCGCCTCGCCGTTTGAGCTTCCCCCGACCTTGCTTCACTCTTCCGGCACAACATGTTCGATTCCGCTGGTTCTGAACCCTAGCTCCATCTTCAGGTAACAGAACTTCCCTAGCCCTATCTCCAACTCGATAGAATCCTGTGAAGTTCTGCTTTTTCATCTTATTCGTGTTCTTTTGCCTGATCATCTGTTTCATTTAGATAGTTTTGTTGCAATTGGTGTCGGGTACGCGTCGGTCGGAGGTTTAGTTGTTCCGAGGCACTCGAATTTGATGAAGTTATCTAGGGTTTTGTTTTTGTTAATTCTCTTGTTGTTCTGTAGTTTCATGTCCTTTATTTCTGACTTAATCGGTTTAAATGGGATTTTTTTGCTATTACATTTTGATTTTATTATTTTTCTGGCTGATTTCTCAAGCTTTCGTATAACCTCTTTTTCATTTGAACACAGTTTGTGGTTTTTGGAACATTCAGAAATTTTGTAGGAAAGTAGGACACTGATGAGTTGCTGGGGGTCGCATGGAGATGTATTTGTTTTCTTTTAGTGAATATTCACACTAGATTGAAATATCTAGGGATTTTTAAAACATCCTTATATGGATACTGCCCAATTCCTATGTATTTACATATTAACACCCAGAATTTGTTTTTTTTTTACATTTATACCTCCCAAAGCTTTCATATGACGTAAAAAATGCCACCATTTTAACTTATAAAAAGAGGAAAAACAACAATGCATGCACAGGTAAGGTGGCATGCATTTAAAAATTGAAGTTTAGGTATTAGATATGTAAATACATATGAATTGAGTGATAATTATGATCTCCTAAATATCTAATGTGCTTTTTGAGCTTTTTTATGTTATCTTCTTTATTATCTATATGATGCATTAACTTGGGAATTTTCTGAAGAGTAGATTTTGACATTGCTCTTCCTGGTTTACTTTGAAATATGGCATTTGAAGTTTTATTCATTGAAATTTTCTAAGCATACTAAGTGGCCTCCCTTTGCATGTTTAAAGCCCAATGTTTTTCACAGGAAATGACCATGAAAGTCATTGGAACTCTTTTTATTTATTTTTTTGGAAGATTTACATACGTACCACTCAAATTCTTTTGTATTTACATATCTAATTCCTAAACTCCAATTTTTACATACACGCCACATATCCTATGCATGAAAAGGTATTTTCACTTTTAAAAATTTAAATGGTGGCATTCTTGATGTGATTTAAAAGATTTGGATGGTAAAAATGTAATAATTAAAGTTTAGATGTTAGATATGTATATGCATAAGAATTGGGTGGTATGTTTGTAAATGCCCATTAGAATTTTGTTTTAGACAATTACTTCAAAATAGGTTCCACTCAATATTTTATGTTTCAGTTAGTGTTGAGAAATTTTTATGATATTTGAAGTGAATTTTATTTTTGACTGCCATCTGCATCAGTGCTGACATTGAGATCTTTGCACACACAAGAATAATCCTGCAGGAGCCAACCCTTTTTCCAGGACCCATTCATTCATATCCATATGAGCAGCAACCTTATCACTTTATGCTATCAACTTTTGCTTCAAAACAAAAGAATAGAATTATTCTTCATACTAAATTAATCTCTCTTCTCCTTGCTTGTATAATTACTATTGAGAAGCTTCTTTTTTTTGTTTGAAAAAAAAGTGGATTAACATAGTGAGCTAATCCAACACGTACAAACATAACTCCACGACAGCTCTAAAGAACATCAAACAACCCTTCAATCAACCCACTAGAGGAATTATCAATAAGAATATTCATGACTGCGCTAAAGAAAATAGAACTCAAGTTGAAAACACCATCATGGGTCCATGACAACCCTAAAGAACATCCAGAAACCACAAAGAAATTCAGAAAAAGAGGAAAGGTTAACAAAAGCTCAAACTGCCAATCATTGCAAAACCCTAAACAAGAATTTTTATGAATTTGGAGGAACACTGAACACTCTCTAAATAACAACCATCAACCACAAAAAATCAGAACATTGAACACCCTCTAAATGATAGCCAACGCCATTGCAATAGCTAACGAAATATATTGTTATGAATTTGGAGGAACAATGAACACTCTAAATAACATCCATCGACCCATCAATCACAACAAAATTAGAAAACAAAAGAAAAAAAATTCAACATTAACTCAAAATTTTGAATCCACAACTGAAGATTTAGGACAATAAATCTTCTTAGAATGATTCAAACAATTGCAGAAACCAAAACCAAACAAGATGGACAACTTGCAAATAAAACTCAAAAGTTTAACATATAAAATTTAAATGCAAACTTTGTTTTGCAGGGGCGGCCATTCAAAATCCGTAGCAAAAGGATGAACCCCAACTAAACTATTGACAATAAAACAAACCCTAGGATAGTCTGGGATCTTGACAGGATTCTTTGGAACCTTCAGGTGTTCGCTACCCTTAGGATAGGGTCTTGAAACTTCTTCCTTTAAAACAATGACATTTGAACTTTTTGAAAACGAGTAACAACCTTAATCTGGAGTTTCTTTAGCAATCCCCAGAATGCTTAAAGTGTAATTAACTATATGAGTTTGCCTTTAAAGGAAGAAGTGAACCCTAGAACAGGTACAATAACCTAAATAATTGATTGTGGGTTTGATTTCGTCCAATCTTCTTTGAGACCAAATGTAGAAGGTGAGGTCTGAGAGATACACAAATTAGACAATGAGAAAACAACACCATCAAATGCTTGTAGCTTGCTGGAACACCAGAGTGTTGATTCCGTACCTATGGTTAGGTTTCGAAAGAGAAGTGGGTCGAGTGGCTGTGAGAATGAAAAGGATTTAGGGTTTAGCAAAAAGTCCAAGCCTCGTTTACTCTATTCACATACCCTTTTGTGGCCTACGATTCAATGGGGCATATCTCAATTATTCAATCATATTTTTGATATGATTGATAGCTGGTTCGATCCGATCCGTCATGGGCTCGAAATTAGATAAAAAAAAGTCTGATCCAAAGGTATGACTCATAGCTCAACTTTTTCTATTCAATCCAATATTGATTCGAGATAAAAAATAAATTGATTTTTGAGTTAATGATCTTTGAGTAGATTTCTCATTCCCCCTCTTCTGCCCAGCCCCTTCAAACTGCCAAATACTACTGCATGAAAATGTCCTTCTTTATGATGCCTAACCAACCTAACCTGAAGTTTATAACAAAGAACTTCGTGTGACCTTGAGTAGGTGGAAGATAACTTGCAAAAATAAAATTGCTCAAGCTAAAAATTGAGTACACACATGAATTTTGGGTGAGTCTAGAACTCATAAGTTCTCTCTTTTCTCTTCTGGTCCTGATGACAAAGAAATTTGTTTTAAATATCAATTTTAGTAGTATGTAGCTTATGAGAAGCCATCCTTACTCTATAAAGCTTTTGTATTAACCTTTTAGTGTGCAGATTTCTAAATTCATTCACAAAACTCTTAAAATACATGATGGTGGAAAACTGTTGAAAATGGGTTTCAAGCACTAAAGTATAATAACACATGTATTCTTGCTAAACTTTCTCAATATAAGAGTCTGGTTGGATGCAAATGGGTTTTCAACATCAAGTACAAAGTTGATGGCGGTTTTGAGAGATTCAAAACTAGATTGATTGCAAAAGGTTGCACTCAAGCCTATGAAATTGACTATCAGGAGATCTTTGCACTAGTAGTCAAATTGAACACTATTAGAGCCTCTCAATAATAGTTAGTAAGGAGTGAAGATTGTGTCGACTTGACATAAAAAATGCTTTCTTGAATAAGGATCTTGAAGAAGTGTACAAAGAGATACCATCAAGACTTGAGAATGATTCAAACAAACTCCTAGCATGCTAACTCAGGAAGTCTCTCTATTGCTTTAAGCAATCATTATGCGCATGATTTGAAAGTTTTGCTAAAACAATGAGGTTTAATAGAGATTCTCAAGGTCATGCTGATTATACATTGTTCATAAACACACTCAGGGGGTATGACTGTTGCACTGATATTATATGTAGATAATATGATTCTTATCGGTGATGATGAAAGAAAAATTCTTAAAATGAAAGAAGTATTTGCTACTGAGTTTGAAATCAAGGACCTAACAATTATGAGATATTTTCTAGGTATTGAAATAGGAAGGTCCAAGAAGGGCATTATTATATCACATAGGAAATATATCCTGGATTTGCTAAAGGTGGCATATATGATTGAATGCAAATCTGCTGATACTTCAGTGAATCCAAACAAGAAATTTAATATGGGAGAAGGAAGTATATATGTGGATAAGGGAATATATCATAGATTGGCAGAAAAACTCATCTACCTATCGCATACTAGGCCAGATATTGCATACTCTATCAGTATTGTGAGCCAACATATAAATAACTCAAATGAAGAGTATCTGGAGATGATGTACATGATTCTGAGGTTTCTAAAGAAAACTTTTATTTATGAATTAATTTTTGAGAGAACTAGAAATATAGAGGTAAAAGTCTAAACTTATGCAAATTGGGCTTGAGAATTCACTAACAAAATATCCACCACAGTTTAGTGCTCCTATGTATGAGTAAATCAGGTCACATGGAGAAGTAAGAAGTAAGCTGTTGTCTTTAGAAGCTGTGTAAAATCTGAGTATAGGGCACTTTCCTTAGGAATCTGTGAAGGGATGTGAATTCAAAAATTGTTGATTGAATTGGAGAGTACCTCTAATAAGCCTATACAACTATTTTGTGACAGTGAAGGCTATCAATGCTTCCAAGAATCCTGTGCAACATAAGATGACCAAACATATTGAAATTGATAGGCTCTTTATCTTTGAACAAGTTAACGGGGGAATTATACAAATAAACTACATCCTGAACACCACCATCTTGCTGATGTTATCGGCAAAGCTTTTCCTTTAAGAAACTTCTTAGAGTTTAATACCAACCTTGGTCTCTACAACATCTACAACCCAATTTAACGGGGAGTGTGAAAATCTAGGAGGATCAACCTCTTTTCCATGATGAGCCAACGCCGATCATCCAAGGAGTGATCGATGGAGCAATTGGAGGAAATTCGGGGAACTCCTTGATTAGTTATTATTGTCTTCCTTTGTATGTTTATTTCAGAATTTTTTCCTTTCGCTGGTTAGGCTAGATATATTTAGTAAAATTGTAAATTAGGAGGGACCGCTTTCCCTGTATATGTAGCCTTATGGTTTAAGATTGGTAATGAGAATTATGTGAGAATTCCCTCCCACTTTTTTTCTTTAGATCCAAATGCAGGTCCAAGGTTTGTCATTTCATGTTGTTGAATTTCTTGTGAATTTTTGGTTCTTGTCCTTTTTCTTATCCATTCCTAGATTTTAGGCGTTTGAATTGTTCTTTTCTTGTAATTAAGAAATTGTTTTGGGAAAATGTTGTTAAGCTTATAGATATTTAAGGAGAATTCTTCTCCTTTATTTTAGCAATAAGTTAGGATGACTTGTAGCTTTATATTATAAATAGGAGTCATTTGATGTCATGCAAATCAAAACTTCAATATCCAAAGTTTCAGGAGATTACCCTTTTTTTTTTTCTCTCCATCCTCTCTCTTTCTCCTCGCTGCATTGGGTTTCACTCTGAAAGATTCTGGTTTGAGAAAATCTATCCGGAAGCAGTGATTTTACAGCATGGGCAGCAAGCTGTAGCACAAGAATTCAACATTACGAATTAAGGCCTAAGGGTAGTAGAAATGTGGAAGTTAAGATACATGTGTGATAGAGCTTCAAAGGATAGAGTTAAAAATGATTCATTTGAAATGTTGTAGCTGTACCATTTATTGACGTCAAGGTTGTAATAAAGGACTTGGATGATTTGAGTTTGTACAAAGAGAAGTAAATCGTAGATGAAATTTTTATGAAGGGAAAATAAAGGAAACATAGATCAACATTACATTGATAAAGACTCGAATAATCTGATGTTAATCCTGCATTTAAAACGCAGCAGAAGGGATAAGATTGATTCAATATAGTCAATCCAACTACTTAAGAATATATTATAATTACTAAAATTGCAATTTTCTATAATAATTTTTTTTCTTTGAACTTAATGGATAATTAGTAATTTTGGGTTTATATTGTGTTCTTACTTTTATATACACATACTTAGTAAAGGTTTGTTATTTTGTTATGAGCATTTCTTTAAAGATGGAAATGAATTTATCACTAGGCTTAGAAATAAAAAAGTTGTATCTTAAATTTTCGTTCTCTTTCTCATATGGTTGTGAACATACAACTTGAATTTTCTCATTTGAATTTAGTCCCTTTACTTATTTTCAAAATGTTTCAATTTTTCTTTTTCATTCTTTTGGCATTCACCATTTTGATCATCATCATCATCATTAGCTTTATCCCTACTAATTGGTTTAGATTTATGAGTCCTTATTATGGTTTCCTTTTCTTTAGAGCAGCAAGCGCTGTTAAACCTACTTTGGATAATTATTTTTACCCAGCTTCTATCCAAGTTACCTTCAATATTCCCATTCTTTCGTAAACCATAAATGTTAATTTTATTTACTTATCTTTATTGGTTAATCTTATGCAATTTATTATTCTTGCTTTGACCATCCACCACTTTCCACAACTTTACTTTCAGCATATGGTATTTCCACTCTCACTTTAATATAATTATTTTTTATTCTATTCTTCTTGGTTTTGATACCCATTCATCTTAGCATGTCTCACCACTAATTTACGCGTGGATGCTTTTTTGTTTTTATTGTCTAGCATTAATATGTAGTCAACATAGCTGACCTAATTTTAATTATGTTTATTTCCATGATGTTTTTGTTTCAAGGATTCTTTTGATGCACATTTTTTTTAAACAACACATGCTCAATTCTAGAAGATATATCCTCATTTAAAGCACCATTATTTTGTATAATAGATCTATGATGACTAATGCTACCATACTTCTGTATCATATTCTCTTTTTTTTGAGTATTGGTAGACTACTAGTAATATCATGCCCATTAAGGTTGCATTATCATATATTTTGTATTCGTTCTTCTTTTTCCGAACATTTACTGTCAAAAACTTTCTTCATTCTTTCAACTCTACTTATTTAAATAAGGTCTTATCAATGAAAATTGCCATTTGTATAAAGCAAAACCAATGCTCCTCATATAAATATCCTTTTTAAATGTCATTTAACCAATACAAAAGTTTATTGATACTAATTTTTTATGTGAAAATACCACGATTAAATTCACTTGCTTATACATATATTTAAACATGTCTGATTTTTATTAATGAGCACCAAATTAATTTTCGTGGTACTTGGATACATGCCTCCCTAATATGAATGAAAATCATATGAATGTCTTTGCTATTTATGTTTTGGGTTGTTTACATAGCACCTGAACCATTGCTATTTACAAATCTAGCACCCAATTTCATCCAATTTTCAAATTCTTACTCAAATATAAAAATTCATGATAAAGTTCCAACCCATATTTTTAATCCTTATCAAACTCTCAATGGTTTGATCATGGCACGTGTGAATACATTAGTTTGGTAGTTAAAAACTATCTTTAGTTTGGTAGTTAAAAATTTTCATACGAGGCTAGATTTTGTAAATAGTGATGTTTTGGGTGCTATGTATGTAATTATCCCTTATGGTTGGGTTGTTGTTTTCTATTAATTGAATTATTAAAAAAAATCCATAGTGAATCATCTTTTTGGCATAAAACCAAATTTATTCTTTGATAGTTGGGCTAAAGCTAATGGTGATGATGACAATGGCTTGTTTATTTGATGAGGAATTAAAACTTTGTGATCTTGCAGGTGTGATATCAATATCTAGTTGGGGTAACCAAGAAAATGGAGAATGGGGAACATTCGAATAAAGTCATGGAAGGAGAGGAAAAAAGGATCTTTCTTAATTCTGATTACAAATTAAAAGAAAAATTTTTACAGATAAATGGTCCAAAAGATTTGAGAAGTGAACGAAGGGATGTTGATGATTTTGATACAAAGAATCCTGAAAATATAACTGATGCTATTGCTGGAAAGGCTTCCGTCGAGGAAGATTTAAAGTTAGAGGGATTAGATGGTATTTCAGATGATAGTGAGAGTGATTCCGTTGCCTTGTTCAGTGATGAATCTGCTGATGAAGAAACATCCTTATCAGGAAGTGATGATGAAAGGATTTCTGAGGTCAGCAAAATAAGATATGCTTAGCAATACATGCATATTAATTCTTTGTCCATTTTTCCATTTTTAAGTGTGCTAATTAAGTTATAATTAATGCTGAATATTGAGTTGTATTTTGGCTACTTATACACTTTTGTTTAGTAAAACTTATATTTTTTTAATGTATTGCTATTGGTTGATACAATAACATCATTTAATTTATTTTAAAGGAAATATTATGTAGCTTTTTATGAGAAGTTTTATCACGTCCCAGCTTACATTGATATGCTTTCTTGTTCTTGTTATCTTGTCTTTTCATATCATTATATTTGTTGCATTATAAACTTATGGTTTTTCTTTTTTGTGCCATGGTCCACATATGGCAGTGGTGGGCTTGGCCCTATGTTCCAAATGAGAACTACATGGGTCATTTTTTTGTTTTACAATACTATTTCTTTTATTTAAAATTATATTTAATCAAGTCAAAAAATGGGTGCCAACATTTTAAAATTATCCATTTACAACTTTCCGACTTTCATTTAATTATTATCTTTTTTAGGTTTTTGAATAATTAATATGGTTCTTTAATCAAAATAAACAAAAGGAACCCTTAGACTTTGAATCGAACATGGTATAAACTTTTATTTCTCTCAACTTATGCGTTGTTTCGCACGTTACTATGGTACATAAGTTTGGACATTATTGTCGCCTCAAACAAGATGTTTAGACTTTTCAACATCATGAGAATGCTATCACATTCCTCTCGGCACTAGCAACCCTAACCTTTTTGACTTCTTTGAGTCTTTCGTAAGCTATAAATACTGAATATCATATAAAAACAAAGCCGTATGGAGGTGCCACAGGCTATAAGGTTATTGCCATTAATTTTTTAGTCCACATTCTACTTGTTTGAGCTCAGCCAATACTTATTGTAGGTATTCAATGAGCTCTATTATGCATTGCTTCCTTTTTCATTTTCTCATCTCTTGGCTACCTTAGTGTTGCCTCTTTCCAAACCATCAATGGTTCTATGTCCTTTCCAAGGAGCTTCCCTTGACTGTTCGTCTATCTATTTGTTATCAGGAATAATCATTATTACTTGAAAGTGATTTACGAACTTTTGGCTTAATTATGGGTCACAACAAGGCTTGATTAAGGCTCAGGAACAAGTTATGTCAACTTGTATCTTGCACTCGTTATATATTTCTTATTTGATAAGTCACTAGGTGTATGCTACTTGGGAGCTCTCTCATGAATACCGCATTTCGCGGTTTCATGATCGTGGGATTTCATGATTGCGGGAATTGATATCGCGAACATGGGATGGTGAAACATGATTGAATCCCTTCCCAACAGGCAGAATTTTTGCCATATGCAAGAGAGTTGAGCATATTTTCTTGCTATTTCACTGCAACTAGGCCCTGAGGTCCCATATTTAATATTTCATTATTTAGAATTATGGTTTTGAGAGGGAACTATTTATATTTTGCTATTTCTTGTTATTGGGCAGACTTTTGCTTTTGTTTTGAGTATTTGAATATTGTAATATCTGTTTTTTAACTTAAGGAGTACTTAATCCTCTTCTTTCACAAGTGGTGTCCTGTAGTTTGTGCAGGAATAGGCGGTGAACCTCCTCGACACCCATACTGTACCTTTTCACGGTTCTCCTTGTTATTTTCAGCCAGGACAACTGCTGATTAACATCAATCCCCTTTCGAATACTTTCAAATCACGTATTATTGTTTCCTCACCATTCAACAACCACAATTCGACTAAACCTCCTTCCTAAACACCTTATGAGCTCCCTAGAATAGTATCACTCTATTTCATGGATTGGAGCCATCGTGCCATGTGCTTCAAGAAATCCACTTTGGATTATTTTAGGAGTTGACACCGGTTCTAATAATTTATGAATTTATGATTTGAAGAAATCTATTGAGACCTGAGTTGATAGAATATGACTTTATTGATATAACTAGGATGAGCTATTAAAATTTCCCATTTGTAAACACATGGTAGAGCTAATTGGCTCCAAGGCACCAATCTTGCACGCCACATCAGAGCCACATGGTAATTCTTGGCCTTGTCACGTCATTAGGGCTAACCCTTACAGGATTCAGACACAACATATGTCCTTTTTTTGATAAGGCATTCCAACCTTATATTTTCTTTAACAAAACTATTTTTTTGGGGGCATCTAAACATTTATTAATTATATATTTTTGATTTTCAGAATTTAGTGGAATTATTTTATTGATATTGAAAGTGGTATAAATACACCTTATATGAATCCTATAATAGAATAGAAAGAAAAAGAAAATAACTTGAAAGGAAAGATGTAATACCTATATCTCAAATTAATTAATTTAAAATAATTACTTGGAGATAAAGTAAACAATATAAAATATGAAAGAAGATAAATCTAATTAAAAAATAAATAAATCTAAAATAGGTTAGGAAATAAATCAAATCCAAGGAAATAAATTTTATCCTCATAAATTTTAACAAGAATAATTTATTTCCTAAAAAAAATTCTAATACTCCCCTTCAAGTTGAAATATAGTTGACAAACATGTTTAATTTGAATTTGAAAATATCAATCAATGGACGATGTGCATTCTTTGTGAGGTAGAACTTGAAGTCTTAATCTCGTACTTAGTAATCAATGCCAAGAACATTTAGAGTTTGACTACGGTTGTTTTTGACTGAAGTTTCTGCAGTGTCTGTAGGTAAGTGCAAGACTCCTACAGGTAATGTTGCAAGAAAAAGTTCGTAGGGATGTAGACAACCTCTAGGGAGAGCTGCAGGGTATGACTTGCAAGGAAATACAGAACTCCGAAGAAGACCTATTGCAGGAAAAAGCTCCAGAGAAGGTTTTGGTACAAGACAAAGCTCCGGAGGAGGGCCTACTGTAGGAAAAAAGATTTGGAGGAGGACGTAATGCAGGAAAAAAGTTTTGGAGGAGGGTCTGTTGCAGGCAAAAACTTCAAAGGACTTGATGTAGGAAAAAAACTCCGGAGTGTTACTATAGGGAAAAGCTTCACAGGAAGGCTTGTTACAGGAGAAACTTCGGAGGAGGGCCTACTACAGGGAAAATTTTGGAGGAAGATCTGTTACAGGAAAAAACTCCTGTTACAGGAAAAAGCTCTGGAGGGTCTGCTGTAGGGTATAGCTCTGAAAAGCCTGCTGCAGAAAAAAATCTCAGGAGAATGGCTTGTTGTAGGGAAGAGCTCCGGAGGAGGGTCTGCTATAGGGGGAAAAGCCCCAGAGAAAGTTCTGGCTGCAAAAATTCAACAAAGGAGATGTTGTGTGGAAATAACTCAGGAAGAGGGTCTGGGATAGGAAAAAGATTCGGCGGAGGGTCTGTTGCAGGAAAAAAAGATCCGGGGGAGGGCTTGTTGCAGGAAAAAAGAACCGGAGGGGGGCTTGGGAAAAAGATCCAGCCTGTTGCATTCGGAGGAGGGCCTGGTGCAGTTGGAGGAGGGCCAGCTGTTGGGAAGAGCTTTGGAGGAGGGCTGCTGCATGGAAGAGCTCCGAAGGAGGGCTTGCTAGAGGAAAAAAAACTTCGAAGCTTATTAATCACAGTAGCAATTATAATGTTGGAAGTGATCAAATCTTCAATCAGCCCCCTGCAGCTTTGTTAGGGTACCACACTACCACAACAGGGCATACACAGTGGTGAACTCAATAATCAGTGAAGCTACCAAGGATCCCTTTGTTGCTCCTCTTAGATGTCCTAAATCTTCTGCTGCCCATCATAACAATACTGAGCCCTAGCCTTTCTTCTGCGAGGCAGAGTCTATCCTTCATGTCATTATGCTTTGCAATGTGGATCTTGAAGGGGATATGAGGCTCTACAAGTGGCTGGACGAGATGCCTGGTGATGGTGAAGGCATCAAAATCTTCCTCAAGTGGTTGTGATTCTCGGAGTCAACCTCTTCAATGGTAGTCGTGACCTCCGAAACGGAGAGGCTATCGATCCCTAGTTAGCATCATAGATAACAGAAGTGGAATGAGCATGAATGAGCATGACGACATCACTAGGTTGAAGGTAATTCTGGACAACCCAATTCACAATGTAGGTGCTTTCTTCGCTTAGAACTACAATGATCACAATTTGACTATGAGAACCGCTGCTGCGGACAAGAAGAGTCGCGGCGATGATGGTTGAATCATCTGTGCTGTGGTGGCTGAGGCAAAGGCTGCAAGGAAATGACAAAAAATTCAAAATTTTATTGGGAATCAGCTGCAGAAAGGTTCAGTTGCAGAAGCCAGTAAGAAAACCGCAGCAGCGGGAGTTTCGAGTCAACACCGGGAGAGCCATCAGTGAATCCAGTGCCTGAACCTTACAGGGATGGGAGTTTCCAGCTGGAAGATGGGGTCGATGGCTAGTTCTTGCAAGAAGGAATTCCGACGGCTAGTTTCCGTATGGAGTTTCGGCGGCTAGCTTTCGCATGGAGGAGTTCTAAAGGCTATTTCCCGCAGGAAGGAGTCCGACGGTTAGGGCCTGCAGGGAAAGTAGTTTCAATGGCTAGGATCTGTAGGGAGAGGCTTCCGACAGCTGGTGGACTGCAGGTGAAGGAGTCGGCGACGGAAAAGGCTGCAGGAGGGAATTCCAATGACGAGAAAGACTGCAGGAGGGAATTTCATCCGAGGGAAAGGCTGCGGGACCTACAGAGAGATGAAGTTTATGGCGGAAAAAAACTGAAAATAGGAGGCGGAGGAAGGGCCTGCATCACAAGAAGTTTAACGGCTGCAGGGAATAGGAAGTTTCTGACGATGGTGGACCTTAAGGTTTGCTTTATGCTCTGATACCATGTTGATTTTCAGAATTCAGCGAAATTATTTTTTTATATGAAAATGGGTATAAATACACCTTGCATGAATTCTATAGTGTGAAAGATAAGAATAAAAAAATAAGATGAAAGGAAAGATATAACACTTTTATTTTTAATCAATAATTCATAATAATTACTTGGAGATAAAAAAATGACTAAATAAGAAAACCTATAATAGGAAAGTAAATAAATTAAAATATAAATGGAAATAAATCCAATCCAAGGAAATAAATCTATTCCTCATAGAGATAAAAAAATGGCAAAATAAGAAAACCTAAAATAGGAAAGTAAATAAATTAAAATATGAATGGAAATAAATCCAATCCAAGGAAATAAATCTATTCCTCATAGAGATAAAAAAATGACAAAATAGGAAAACCTAAAATAGGAAAGTAAATAAATTAAAATATGAATGGAAATAAATCCAATCCAAGGAAATAAATCTATTCCTCATAAGTTCTAACTAGAATAAATTATTTTATATTATAATTTCTAACATATATTTCTCTAGATTTCTATAAAATTTGAGTAAATGGTTTCAAAATTGCTAAAAAATTAACAAATACTCCCAAATAACTGTTAAATCTTTCTTAAAGATTAAAAAAAAATTCATATGATTTCTTGACTGTCGCATGATAAGTTACATTAATATTTTTTAAATATTTTAAATAATTTGTTGATTTTTTTAAAAAATTCTTAGAAATTAATAAAAGAAAAGAAAATACATAAAACTTGTGAAATAAAAAATCACTTGTGCTTAAGATGCTGTTTGGTTGGCGGCGAAAAGAATACATAGTAAATGGAATTTAGTACAATTGAAAGAGAGTGTGCTGGAAATATTTTAAATTATTTGGTTGTGTAAAACAAATACAAGAGCTTGGCGGCGGCAATGGCATGCAAGGGTAATGTTGGGTTGTGTATGGCGGCCGCAATGTTTGCTTTTGCCGTGTATTTTAAAATTGGCCGAATCGGATGATTATCAATTATACCATATTAGTACTAAATTGTGAGTTTAAAATTCATAAAAAAAATTATACTATATTTTTTTTTCATCCAACCAAATGTCCAAATTTTTGAAGTCCATACATTTGGTTTGCATTATTGATGTGGGGGTTTGGGGTTGAACCGGCCCCAATTGGTTCGATAGGGAGGCTGAACCGGCCAAACAAACCCTTCCTAGGGTTTTGAGTGCTGTCTCCCAAGGGGGAGGGGTTCCCGCCCTCCCTCCCTCGCTATCTTTTATTATAAATAGGCTGTTTGCATTGTTAGGGTTAGTTTTGGTTGAGATTTATGTTTGGAAAGCCTCCTATTTTAAATTATCCGCACCTCCACTAATCCTCCCCGCCGTAATACCCTACCTGCCGTTCTTCTTTTCTGTTGCTGTCCAAAGCTCCTTCCGACTGCCGTTAATAGGCCTTCCCCCACCTGCAGTCATCCGCCAAAATCCCCCTTTCTTACTGCAGCCAACTGCTTCCCCCTTTTCTCCCTCCTGCAGCCACCCACTGTCAAGTGCAATTTCTTCAGGTCCTTACCTGCTGCCGCAGCTCCTCTCCTGCATGCTACCCAGTTCCCGCAACTCTACCACAGCCCACCTATTGCTGTGGCAACCTCCCAGACACCCACCCACCTGCTGCCCAGCGGCATTCACCCCTTTCGTCCTCGTTCTAGTGGGCGGTTTGTGGTGTGTTAATTTATTCTCATTTTAGAAGTTTTCATTATAACTTTTTTTGAATTTCAGCAATAATATTATCATTTCTTTTGTGTGGGTTAACTTCGGTATCAATTTTTGATTATGCATGCAACCAAACATCTCCTAAATCAACTTTGTTGACCTTATGTATGTATTGTAGATCATTGTTACTCATATATTATCTTTTAAGCTGTCTTTGAAAGTATGTTAGTCCATCGAACATACAGCAAACTAGCAGAATCGAATCATTCCAAATAAAAGCCCTTTACATCAAAGAACCAAATTGAACTGATCATAAATTGAAAAATTGATTCACTAATCTGAAAAGTTGTATTTTTGATAATCCTAGAAAAGTATACCCATAAAGGGACTTGGCTATGCTTCATTTGTTTAAAATTTCACGTGGAAATAGCAGTGGTGTGAGTTTTGAAGTAGTTTTTTGGTAAAAAATTTTCTGGTTTTCTATATTTTACGTGAGTATCTTTAATGTGTATGTCTATTTGCTCTTTTACCATATATATTTCTCGTGTCAGTGTTCGCTTTTCAGAAATATGACTTAAGGTTATGGCTTATTTAGGCACCTTTAACTGATTCAGAGATTGAAGAATTAATAGAAGAGTTTCTTGAACTTGAGAGCAAGGTATTTTTTTTTTTAATGGAATCATGTTTCTTAGTTTCTTTCTTAGCTATTTGTTCCTCTCGTCCATTTCTCATCCTACTTTTTAGGCTTCAGAAGCTCAAGAATCACTTGAGAAGGATTCTCTTGCTCAGGTCGAAAAGGAAGTTAGAGAAGAGCTCTCACAAAATCTTCATGGGGATGCTGTTGGTCCCTTTGCCTAAACTTACATTTTCATAAATTGTATCAATAGGAATTCTATGTAACTGCAATATTATTAAAACATTTCATTCTTCTGTGTGTAGCTTGATCTTGCTGTATCAAATGAAATGCAAACATTCAGAGAGGAATGGATGGCTGTGCTTGATGATCTCGAGACTAAGAGTGCTCTGCTATTGGTCGGTATCTGCTGCTTCAGCTACTGCTGTTTGTTGTGAAATTATATTGTTTGTAGGACTACGAATGTTTTTTTTTTTAATTTAGAAATGTACATAAATACCACGCAATTCTTATGTATTTACATATCTAACATGAAAAGTTTGATATTTACATTTATAACACTTCGTTATTGAAAACATATGCATGAAAATGTGTATTTCACTTTTAAAAAACTAGCAATGGTGGTATTTTTTATGTGATGTGAAAGATTTGAATAGTAAGCATGTGAATATTATAGTTTAGGTGTTATGTAAAATACATAAGAATTGTGTAGTATGTATGTATATGCTCTTTTTTTGGGGTTAGGCTTCAGTACGTAGGGAAACATATTTTTGCAGTTAAATAGTGTAATAGTGAAGTTCAAACGGATCATAGATTTACATGTGGTTGTAACAAGCCAAGCTTGACTAAGCTTTAGCTCATTCAAATTTAGTAGATGCTATGTTCTCCAAGCTAAAATCATTTGTTATCATACTGAAGAGTGGTCATAAATAGTTAGTCAAATCAATGATTGTTGGTCAATGGTTTTGATCTCATTAAAATTTTGGGAAATTTACATACATGCCATACAATTTTTATGTATATACATATTAACACCTAAACTTTTTATTTACATTTATAACACTTTGATATCATAAACCTATGCAAGGAAATGTGAATTTCACTTTACAACAACAACAACAACAAAGCCTTAATCCCACGGCGTGGGGTCGGCTACATGAATCCTTTTCTCCATTGCGTCCTATTTAGTGTCATATTTTCATTTAGTTCTAATAAATTAAGATAATTTTTTATACATTAAGCCCAAGTTTTCCTAGGTCTATCTCTGCCTTTCTTAACATAAGTCGAATCTAAAACATTTACTCTCCTAATCGGATCATCAGATGGTCGACACTTAGGGTCCGTTTGGGACAGCTTGTGCGTTTCAGGATAAGCTGCTTATCCTGAAACGCGGCCTGCGGGCTGGCCGCAGGGGTCGACCCGCGGGCCGCGGTTAGTGTAAAAACTCAAACACAGTTTCAGATAAGCTGACGAAACGCGCGAACCAAACAGTACAACGACGTTTTGAAAACGCCGCCTGCACTTATAAGCTGCCCCAAACGGACCCTTAATGTGACAAAACCATCTAAGACGACTTTCTATAATTTTTTCCGTCACAGGAGCTACACTGACCCTATCACGGATATATTCATTTCGCATTTTGTCTCTAAGTGTAAAGCCACTCATCCACCTAATCATTCTCATATCGGCAACACTTAACTTTGCATTATGCTTCTCTTTTAAAGGCCAACATTCAGTGCCATAGAGTAATATTTTTGATGCGGTTTTAAATTTTTTAGGGCTATGCATGCAAATATGAATGTAAGTGTTAGATATGTAAGTGCATAATAATTGTGTGGTATGCATATAAGTGCCTCTAAAAATTTTCTTGCCATTTTAATAGGATATATTCTTTCTTTCTTTTTCCTTTGGGAAGTGTAGTGCGCTGAATAACTTTGATAAGTACTTTTAAGAAATTTACCAAATAAACAAGTTGGCTCCCATACATATAGTCTCTGTAGTATTATAACTTTTTTTACATACTCTGTTCGCATTTTTGAAAGCATATTGAATAGCCGTGGTTGGTGAAATACATGGATAGTTGCGACTTTATTTTTTCTATTCTTCTACAGCATGTTACCTTCCTCTTTGTTTATTAGGCGTGTATATGGTTTTTCTCCTCCAATAAGAAAGACCATTATTCTTCCAGTTAAAATTTAATTTTATGACCTTTAAAATTGTGATCAATGCCTACTAATTTCTTCAACATTATTAATTTAGAAGTCTATTAGATGCATCAATGGTTTTGATTGTTAGTTACATGGGTAAAATTGGATTTTAAGCAAGCATTGTGCACTCGCACACTTTTATGTGGAAACATATGTTTTTCCACAAGCTTTTTTTATTCTTTATTTTTTCTTATTTTGCCCCATTTTTTAATCATATAAAATTCAAATGGACAATCAGGACTGTTCACTTTAAATATCAACATGAACATCAGCAAGATGCCAATTTTTTTGTATTTTTATTTTAAGATGATTTGATAATGCATAAATCTAATGAAATTAATATTCTAATTGATGGTTTAGATAGATATATCATCATTAATTTATTGGTGCAAGAGTACTTAAGAAAATGGAATTGTTTGGGCATGTTTAAAAGGTCATTTAGAATAATTTCAGTGGATTTCATTGAAAAAATAAAAAGTGCTTTTGGTGAAGGCCTTTCATTTTTCAATAGTTAATCATCATTTATAAGACATGGGATTTTATTTGTAGAAATAGAGTTATAGAATAAATCCAAACAATCAAATATCAAATATAATCTTATTTAAAATAAAATCTAATCTAGTAAAGAAGGTTGATTCAGGTTAATAAAATTAATCTAATAAAAATAAGAAAAATATTATATGAATGAATACGAGCCTAAAATGCATGAAAATGGGTCTTATTCAACTTCTTTTTGCAGATCTATTAAAATTTTATCTTTTATGGATTAAATTAGTTGGATTACATTGCCACTTAATTACATTAGATAATTTATTTGTTTATTATTCTTAGATTTAGATGATTTTGTATTGTTAATCCTTATTTAAATTGGTTGTATTAATTAATCTTCAATTTTTTTTTGGTTAATGTATCATTCTATGGGTGTTGGTTTAATCTTATCATGATATGCTTATTCTTTCTTTTTTTTATTTTTTGGTTTTTTTTATGTAGAGGATGGTTATGTTTTGTTTTATAATGGGTATTTGCTAGAGTTTTGTATAATGTGTATAATGTACCTATTTTTCTTTTTCAAATGCTGTGTGATTTTTTTATTTCAAAATACTTTATTTTTTGTTTTACTTTCAAACATCATATTTGAATCTAAAATGCAGTCAATAATTTATATCAAGTCAATATAATCTTTTAGAGCTAGTTTATTTTGTCTTTCAAAGTAATAGTGTACGGACTTTATTATTCGTTCAAGAAAAATACAATTTTATTGTTTATTAAGTACTGATTGTTAGTATTAATACTCTATTGAAATTTTCATATTGATGATAGCATGGCATTTTATTCTGTTGCATTAAAAAAGAAGAAAGCTAAGGATAAAGAATTTCACTAGCCTTGTTGTGTTGAAAATCTCTTACAAGATTCTGAACATGTTAGGGAGCATGACATGGATTTCAATAAAAATATCATGGCAGATGCAAGCTGTGATTAAGAGGTACTTATGGGGCATCTCTATATTAGGGAAAGCATATTACATCTTTAATAAGGGAACTTTGAGAGTTGAAGTTTCTGCACATGTTACCATTAATGAGTCATATAACCATTACTAAATCAAAGAATTGAATTTTGATAATGTTATAGCTGGTGTTAAAAGCGGAACTAGCTACCGAGTAGGGAGTAAAAGTTTGTGTTTAATCATTCTAAAGACTTGATTATTGTAGACTTATATGTGGGAGTTAGTACCAGAAATGAATTTTGATTAGAAGTGAACTTTATTTTGTTTATCTCATTGACATAACCAACCTAGTTAGAAGAAGCATTAGTGATTAAATTTTGGATAGTGAACATGCAGAAGATGTTAAATCAATTTACATAAAATTTTATTGACTAGAGAAATATGGGAAGAAAATAAGTTTGTAAAAATAAACTGATTCTACAATATTTGTGAGAAATAATGATGTGAATGGTTGTAAAAAAGTTTAATTTCATAGAAGAAATAGGATTTGAAAAATTTTTGCAACAGTTGCACAAATCGAGGGTTATTGGATTACTAACATTTGCAAGCTTGATGGGCTCCAAGTTATAACAGATGGATGTAAAAAATCTCTCTCTTGTGGTATGACAGAGAAGGGCATGCATGTTGAGTAGCCATGTTGGATTGAAAGCTAAACCCACTTTAATCATGTTTGCCAATTGAAGAAAGTTTTATCTGGATTAAGGCAGCGTTCATGGCGATTGAAAGCTAAACCCACTTTAATCATGTTTGCCAATTGAAGAAAGTTTTATCTGGATTAAAGCAGCGTACATGGCGTGACAAACTTAATAAGCATTCATTCAAAATGAAATCGCTGAAGGAATTTTTGACGTGATCTTATTTATTTGAAAATTTGAGTATCTTGATTGTGCAAAACTATGTTGATAATTTACTATTTTGAGTTATAAATGACTCATTATGGCAATAATTTTCTTCAATGATGAATCATGAATTTGGAATAACTATGGTAAGGAAGTTGACCAATTTTTTTGGTTTTCCAGATAAAACATAAAAGGAATGGATTATTTTAATATGAATTTAAAAATATAAATAAAAATATTTAAGAAATTTGAAATGGAAGGATGTAAGAAAATAAATATGTTGATGAGCTGAACACTTTAGCTTGGTAGAAACCCTAGCAGAGAATATGTAGATTTGTAGCATTTTTGAGGTATAATTTGATTGCTGCTATTTCTCACTGCTAATAGACTTGGCCTCATGTTCAGTACCTACTTATGTGATGCTTTTATGTTGTTCGAGAAGAATAAAATTTGATAGGAGCAAAGTTTAATTAGATGCTTGGCTGCCACCACTGTGTTGGAACTTTGTTATCTTACGAGTAGCATTTGACCTTATGGGATATTGATATTTGGATTTTGCAGGTTGTAATGTTGATAGGAAGGGCATACAGGCTGTAATGTTGATAGGGAGGGCATATCAGGGACTTGTCAATCTATAGGGCATTAATTAATTTTATGATCTAGCAGAAAGTAGAATTTCGTTGCTCTATCAACTCTTGAAGTTGAGTATATAGCTTCAGGCAGCTGTCTTGCTCAAGTCACATATACAAAAACTTGATTTTAGAATCTGTTGATAAAGTGTGACAATACTAATGCTACATGTATATCACAATGAATCTTATACAATACTCTAGAGCAAAATATATTGA